AGAACCCAGAGCTTTGGAGAGCTTCTCCTTGTATCGCTCTTTTTTTTTTCCCTTTTTCCTTCTTTCAGTTCGACTTTGAGTCTTCGGCGGATTCGATCATTCAAAATCAAGGGCTGCTTTGAAAACTGCATTTCAACATAAAGAATTTAGCGCATGTGAGCGTCTACCAAAGCTTTCAGAATTGAAGTGCACACGCACACGCTTGAGAAGAACTTGCAGCAAATCCCAACCCGTCCTAATCCCACACGTTGAAAGACGTGCTGTGGCTGTTTTTTATAGTGTCGTTGGTGGTTGCTGCGTAAACATTTAGCATTCTTCATTAAGAGAGAGTATCATAGCCACTGAACAGCAGGAAGTACATAGCTGAACACAATGGGTGCGTCAATTATTTGCAAGACAAACGGAGCTAAATATTAACCACGGCTCCAATAAAAATAAATAAATAAAAAGTGAAATGCCACTTGAACGCCAATGCATTTTGAGGGAACATTCTAAATGCACTGAAGCGCTCGCAGCTTCATTTAAAATGATCTTTGAAGGAAAACAACTTATCTACACTTGCATCGAGTCACATTTGTCAGCGACCACCGCGGCCGACGAGGAGGAAATACATTGGCATGTGTTGACCAAGACCATCTCCAAATAACAGCCCTGTCTTGTTGCAAAAAAAGGGGCTTTTAAGTGTGGAAGTGCTTCGTCTCTGCCGTAATCCAGCCGAGACATCACTCCTTCCCCTGGCAGACGTCCGCAGATCCCTCCCTCTCGCCCAGCCAGGCCTCGCTCTCGGCTGCCATGGCGGAGCCGCAATAACTGCTGTTTGCTCAGAGCCTTGCCTCCCAGGTTCTCCTCTGTCACACAGAAATTAAATATTTTCCCAAATAGTGTTGCAGCTGTGCACAGATAAGGGCACGTCCTGTTCACGGAGCACAAAGAATGAGACGGGGGTCATTGTGTGTGAGAGTGTGTGTCGTCTATATTGGACAAATGATCTTAATCATTATGAAGAAGAATAAATGGAACAAATAAAGGGGAGCTAAAAAGATGTGGGGGTTTTTTAATAATAAAAGATATGCACAAACTTCCTTATTATCCTTCTAAAAACTATGTGATAAAAACAATTCATAACTTCAATGATAGTGCTCATTTAAAATCCTTAAAATAATAGTAATGTGCAAAATAAATCCCACTCTCGGCAGGAAGTCAGAGGGTTTTTTTCCCCGCTTTATTGACAGACGTATTGGGAGTGACCTAAATACACACTGCTAATGGCACACAGCATGTCTTATCTAAAACCAAGGTAGGGTTTTCAAACATCATGTAAAATACACAAGCAACGATTAGCAACCACACTAAAATGTTGCACACCCTTTTTTTTTATGACCGGAGGACAGTTTTAACAACCCAGTTTCTGCACTTTGCACTCCGTTGGCAAAAAAAAAAGGCTTTTTAGAGAAGCATAAAATGGTTGACGCACAAAAACAGGGCTGCCAGATAGGCTGAGGGAGGCTGCCACTTACCCAGCGCACAGAGAGCTACGTGAGAGCCACCGGCTAATATCCATGTTGTTTCTTGTCACCAGAGTTTGAATTGACCCTTGTGTTCCGCCGCCTGTGTCCTTCCAGTGAAACGCTCTGCTATGAAATTATTGAGGCAAGCAGAAAGTTTCACCTGCCATTTCAGGGGCACCAAATCCCCCTCCACAGCAGAGGCCTTTTGGCAAGTGGAAACAAATGTTTTTTTTTTTTACAAAATGGCAGGGAGGGAAACACACCGCCGCACAAGGTTTTGCTGATTGCCAATCGTAAAATAAAATCAGTCATGAAAGGGGAGTTTTTTGGCCTGCACGTTACATGAAATAAAAAAAAAGCTTTGGCACATTTGATGTAACAGCCTTGTTTCGTCTATCTAATAGGGAGCAGTTATCTGCACAGTGGGACTCCATGTAGGTGGTTTAGCAACAGCAAAGATTGTGTCTGAAAGCCCAAACCCGCAATTTACACCCCGAATAAGCAATGGGATGTAAATCCAAATGATTTAACTCCCTGCAATCCTCTACTTCTGACTCATTCACAACCGCAATCATTTGCTTGATTTTGCTACCGAGTAGCTAAGGTGGTGTTCCCCCTGAATAAAGGCGCAACATCCCCGGTGCAACCCTAGAACAAACAATCCATTCAGCCACTGTGCAACCTTTACATCAGTCGAATGGAGCTGCCAATAGCTGCGCAGACAAAGACAACATGCAGATATCCTCGCCGGTGAGAGCATGCGACACAAAAAACAAAGTGAACAAATGTTGCCACCGGTCAATAGTTGCACACTCGTATTGAATAAAATCAATATCATATTACTTTAATAAATCCAGGGTGGAAGTGCCTCGCTTGTTGGAATAATTAAAGAACCCGTAAAGGCCGTGAATGCTGCTTTGTGCTGTTGTTTAGTGTATAGCCAGTTAGATACCCGTGGTTCTGGAGTGGGTGGGGGGAATAATACGGCAGCAGTAAATGAAGCAACAATCGGTAATGTCACAAATGTTGATGGGTTCAACGCCACTCGCCCACACCGAGTCTCGTGTGTTGCGAGAGCGTCACGTAAGGAGGATAGACTGATACCCAACACTTTGTGCCCCAAACGCATAGAAAAGTGTGCTGTGCCGTATCGATCGGGGAGTACGCATGAACGCTGAAGCAAAAGAGGAGCAATCTGGTGCTCCGGCAGATGAAGAGCAGCTGCAGTTCTTTGAAACTGGACGCACTCCCCGGCGAAACAAGGCTGTGGGTACTTTCTCTCGGACTGAACCTCGACGCTGAAATTCTCACAACGCGGCACGCTGGGGCATAAGATGCGAAACACAGGGACGCGTTTGTGTCATTTACAGTGGGAACCTGTTCTTACAGGCCGACGACACTAATTTTTGAAAAAGGTATTCCTTGAGTAAAAATGATTTACAAACAAATGCTTATGAATTCTTTTTTTTTTTGGTGATTTATTTTCCCTCAGTAGGCAAATCCTCCTCCCTCCCTCCCTCTCCCACCACACCCTCTCCCAACATTACACACATTACTTTTTTGCGAGTGCAATTATCATGTTGTGTGGAGGCTCGGACGTCTCTCACACCTACGCACAAACAAATACAAGTGGGACTATGTTACACACAACATGTCATGTGGACCGTCTTACAATACGGGGGGGGGGGGGAGAAAACAAGACTTTTAGTTTCACTAGCTTACACACACACACACACACACACACACACACACACACACTTCTCAAGGCTTTAAGGCTGAGCCCAAACCAGTGGCACAAAGTATGTCTCCTACTATTGTGTAAGGCTTCTGACCACTTTGATATGCTAATGTCTCCCTTCAGAACAGCTGGAATTTGCATTCGCATTAATTCAAACATTTTATTACTCGCAAACATGTGAAAACGGGAGTTCCCAATAAAGAAGGATTAGATAAGAAGGTTTGCTCTTGGGAGTCTGAGTCATACTGGCTTAATTCTGACACATTCCTGAAAACTCAAATAGGGTGCCTTTGTATTTAGCTGGATGTCACGTAGAAAATAGCCTGAGAGCAGCATGTCCAACCAGGGACGTATTCAAACGCGCATTGGATTTGAAAAATACATATATATATTCCTATGCGGAACACCTATTATGAACGTCTCCTAGCGAGATGTTTCAGACCAATGAGACACATTCAGGGACTCTAATCGACGCCGTAATTCCGAGTTACCCTAAAAATCAGATGGACAACACAAAAACTCACAACAACAACACCAGCCAAAAAAAGGACCCGGAGGGAGGGGGGGGGGGGCACACGTGTATCCCGGTCCGCTGATCGATCGCTGGAGATTGCCGCTGTGCCCTCGGGCTGCCGAGCCTCATCGGATGGCCGCGGTGTATTCCCCGGGCTGAGGGAGGCGCACGCGCCGCGCCGCATGTGCGCGCCCGCCGCCTCCTCTTTTAACACATGGTTGACAAGACGCGTTCGCAATCGGTAGGCCTAAATAATACATGTTGCAGTAAAAGGATCTAATTTTACAGCCACTCTGCGCCAACTGAGGGTTGAGTTAAGTCAAAAGGACCCACGTATTGCCCCGGTTTGGGGGGGTTTTCGGGGGTGTTGCACGTTTATAGTTTTTTTTTATGCGTGATTGATTCCCATGACATGTCCCAGCGCGTGTAGCTCCATCGCACGGGAAGCTGTCTTTAGCCCAAACTAATTATTGCATTGGTAGGGTGATCCGTCGCCCAATTTCCCTCTTCTCCTTCTTTTCTTTCTTTGGACAAATAGCCTAAACCCCAATTATAATGGATTAGCCTGTGAATGCTCACGAATCGGTCCGACATCGCTTCTCAGGTCACAGCTTGCAGCAGAAATCCTCTATTCAAACCAACGAGCCCGTCAGAGGATTTAAACAAAAACAACAACAAAAAAAGCCTCGGTGACTGGCACCACCAACAAACTACACGTCAACTCTGGAGGGATGTATTCCAATTAAATTGTGCTTTACGTGTTCTGGTTCACATAAATGCGATGCCCCCCCCCCCCCCCCCCACACACACACACACACTTTCAATAGTTTCCATTGAGCCAAACTAGGCAGCCGATAATCAATCCACATCTGGTTGTGTTTTCATAAATCATTTTTGTATTAACCACGGTACCTCTCGGACCATTAAGGACTGCTTTAGGGCCCCGCGCGTTGTTTTACTCCTTAGAAAAGTAGTCACTTTATATATTTGTATATATATATTTGGTAGCTAAATACACCGCGAGACGAGTAATGTCTGGGAGTTGTTTTGCTTCAGCGCCGAAGGAACGGCAAAGCTCCAAAGTGCGCGCAATACAAAGGAAAAGTTCTCACACTTTCCACCAACTTGTCAGATTTGCCTCGGCTGCTGCGCATAATAGGATCTGTTGAATAACGTGGTGATGGATGAGCCCTCAAGGTGCAAAATGGAAGAATAAAAAAAATAAAAAAAATACTCTTACCTTTCTTGAGAAGCAGTGGGGCCGAACGGGCTTGAAATGAAGTCGGTGCGGATGTGGGAGGAAAATTTTTAAAAAAAAGTCAGATTGCGGAAAGAAAGTCTGATGCGAACTCCTGGAGTCTGCGGGTCTGAGGCATGCTCCTCTGGTCTGGGACGCGGGGGGTGGTGGTGGTTGGGGGGGCTTGGCGATCAGGCGGCGGGTCCCCCTCTCAGCCCGTACAGTCCCCCGCAACACGCGCACGCTTCCATGGCCCCGGCAAGGTGTTTCGCTCTCTGCGCTCAGTCCGGACTCATCGGCGCCTCGTGGACCTCGCAGCGACTCATCTGTTAAGATGCGCTGTCGCGTCTCCTCGTGCGTCGCGCGCGCTCCCGGAGCGTGAACCAGAAGAGAAAAGCCCCCACCTCGTAGGGGGGGGGGGGGGCACACCACCAAATACAAATACAAAAAAATGAAGAAAAAATAAGAAAAACGGACTGACTGAGAGGGACAGAGTGTGGTAGTGGTGTTGGCGGTGGGGAGTGTGTTTGTGTGTGTGTGTGTGTGGTGGAGAGGGGGGGGGGGTTGTTCAGTGTCTGAGTTGAGAAGACCGATCTCCGCTACTTTAACCTGCCGATAATAATCTCCCTTGGCTCTGTCTGAATGAGACAGTGAAGACGGGGGGAGGGTGGGGGGGCAAGTTTCAGCGGTTCGCCTGTGGAAAAGATCCCGCTCACAGTGTGGAGACACTTGGTGGAAGCGGCGCGGAGCGGACTTCCAGTAAGCAGCGCCAGTGCAGTGGGGAGCAGGCTGCCGTCTGCAGGAGCTGTCTGGGCTGGAATGGGAGGTGGGAGGGGGGTGGTTGGAGGTGGAGGGGGGGAGGCTGCGTCAAAACGTGGCATGGAGTAACCCATCCGCGCGGACTCGGAGTGTAGTTCCTTGCAGGAGACTAATCGCATGGACTGTTACCAATGCGGCTCTTGATCTCCTTTTTTTTTAACTCAGTTTAAGTCACACAGGAATGAAGGCGGTTATCAATAACCCCCCCATCATTTTTTTGTATCTGTTTAGAGATCCAAGGCACAGGAGGCAGTCCAGCCTATTCACCCAATGACATATATGACTTATTCTGTTGTAGTCCAGGCATCGAAAGGAGCATGGACGTACAGGCAGACCACCAGCCCCCCATTCCAACTAGCCACACAGGATAACACCAGCAGCAGTGGTCAAGCCGCTGATGGTGCGTGTGGCCTAGCAGGTTTTTTTTTTTTATATCAAGTCCTTTTTTTTCTCCCCAAATGCACTTTTCTACATGATTTATGACACCGTTCATCAGTCAGGGGGATTTTTGTCGGGCCGCTGTTTCTTTGACCTTTTGAGTCTTTGCTCTAAGCTGCAAGTGACGTTGGTGGTCCGAGATTCATATTCACTGAAATGCAGGCGATTACAGTTTGATCTGCACGAGAGGTACAAGCAACGTTCCCCGTTGTGATTTATGGTTTTCATTTGTTGCCAAACTTTCTGAAAAAGTGTCGATATTTCTCCTTGAGTTGGAAAATCGTATTGTCAAGGCCACTGCTGTTTTTCACATTGTCATCCGGGCTGTCTCAATCTTTAAATCAGAATATGTAAAACTAAGAAAAACTCGCAGGTTTCTCTTTGCATTTGGAGCATGTTAGGATCCGGTCGAGGAATTCTGTCCAGAAACATTACCAGGCAGGACGTGGGTACACACATGGCTTCAATAAAAACTGTCCTTCACCCACTATGGGGAAATGTGAAGTTGAGTCATGCTTGCCAGGTGAAGGTGAACGCAGCAGAGGGGCAGACTTTTGTTTTCATAAGCATAATTTTACATAATAATACATACTTCTTCTTTTTTTTTTTCAAGGGACAAAAAAGAGAAAACAGATGTAATAAAAAGGTCAACTTGTGACAGGCATCCATATCTGGAGAAATGTTTATTTATAAGCCAAGACTAAAAACACATGTGGTGTCTCTATGGCTGCAGTGTTGAATGGCGTCAACTGCCATTTTGCATAAATTCATTTTAATCTGCTCCCTTAAATTGTCAACAGAGGGCATTAGACTTGTATCGCCATATTCTTCTGAATGAACATCACAAACAGATGAAATAAAAACAGGTGAAGACGGAGAAATCTGTTTGAACCACAAAACAATTACAATTTTTTTAGCCAATTATAGGCCCTCTTGTGTTTGTGTGTGACCCCAGCCTATGCAGCCATTTCTTTGACAAGTCACAGCGGTTGCACAAAAATTGTTTATGTGAACGTGTTTATGATAAACTGTGATAAAATCATATCTTGCAAATATGGCACAATATTGCATGTAATCACTCACCAAATGGTGCATGATAAACGCTGGCTGGCAAAAAAAAAATACAAAGGTGAAAAACAAGGACAGAATTGATGGCAGCATTTAAAGTAAATACTCACCCTTCAAAAATGAAAATGTAAGTGCATGTGTGTAGAATAGGAAAGATGTAAGAACAGTGTTTTTTCTGTTTATCAGTTGAAAATGATGGCAGATGCTTTGGACAGATCTCAGTCATCCATGGTGAGAGCAAATATGTCCCCCCCTTTTCCCATGTGGCTCCGAGACTGCCTCTTAACCTTCAATTGTTCACCTAACAAAGCTTATTGGTTCCTTCCCAAAATATTTGCACATGATTGACATTTCAGGCACACATGACCAGTCACAGGACTGCTTTTGACCCCCCAATCAGTCACCCTTCTGCTTGTTAGAGGGACAGAGATTTGGCCATGTTATATGCTTGAAGTACAATTAACAAAGCCACATCTAACCTCAATCACGCCATAATTTGTTCATCAAGTGTTTTTGACCTTTATTGTGAAGTTTTAACATATTTTTTAACTTTGCTTGACCTAAACAAACACGGTAAGAGTTAGCTTGTGTCGTCTGACTGTGCTATCGACGTGACCAAAATAATCTAATTGGGTTGAAATTTGACTAAATGGTACCAGACAAAGCTCAGAGAATCAGCACTAAGGCACCAGAGGCAGTTGCATTTCTTATTTCCTTCTTGTCACATCTCTCCCAGCCACCACAGTAAAAGTTCAAAGTGAAGCTTCAAATATTTGAGCTGCAAACTGGTGATGTTTTTTTTTTTTCTGCACTTGGTCCAGTAGCTTGATCTGTTCCACACCAAGTGAAACCACTACATCACAACTACCCCCGACTCTCTCCATATGCTCTCATCAATTTAGTCAAGCTGGCTGTAGTCGTCTCCCTGGATATCAGACTCAGAGTGGACTCATTATCAAAGAAGGCCTCTCAACACAGTGCAAACTCTGTAACCACCTTGAGGACCGGCCCTGTTTCTGCACTGGTTTAACTAACAGGGGGCCAAGAGCTTGTTTGGGGAAGCGCCAGGGCTTGCACAGGATTAATAATCAGAAGCATCATTGTGTATAATCATTTTGTTAGTTTGAATATGTACAAAACTTTTCTACAAGCTGTGCATTTCAAACAGTAGCTCATGTGGTAATAAATTATATAGAATTTAAAACACTCTACTTGACTGTGATTCTTTGTCTTGCTTCTAAGACCCTGATTCAAATAGTGTTACTGTTGTATAACAGATTTCCTCTTAAAGTAATATCTTAAGACAGCTACTCAATCTATTATCATCAATCCTCATTATATTCCCAAGTATGTGAAACTAGACAGGGTAGAGGTTGACACGAACATTATTCTGCTTAAATTTAGCTTCCGGGGTTAATTAAGAATGAGTGGATTACCATGTGTTAATAGAAACTGGTTTCCATGTTTTTAAGTTGCCCAGTTGAGTACTGGGTTTTTCTTTTTCGGTGTTTTTCTCAAGACTCATATTTGGAGTTAAATACACTGTCAATAGGGTATATACACCAGCATGCTTCTGACCCAAAATCAATAATGGATAAAAGAGTAAGAATGTATTAGTCACTCTCCCTTTCTTTCATTAGAAATACTTAAGAAAGGCAACGCAGGCAATCAACTGCTGCCTAAACGTAAATCAACATGTGTACTTTATGAGCTGGCACACCAAGTAAAATATTATCAAATCAAGTCCCAATGAGTGATCTCATCATTCTGCTCAAATTTCAGTTATTTAATCACTCCGTCTGTCCAAAAAGGGCCGCTACAGCCAGTCCCCCCCCTCAAAGCGCCCAGGACTTATAATTGACCCAGCAGACAGGAAGCAATTAAAAAGAAGTCAAACACACGAGGGGCTTCGAGATCAAATTTGAAAAAAGCAAGGTCCGGCGTGGGCATGTTGGGCTCTGGCTTGCACAACTGTCAAATAAGTTGAGTGTTAAAAGACCACACTCCATAAACAAATCCTTTTTAAGAAAACGTAAACATTAAAGGATCTTCTACACTGTGTTCTATCATCAAAGTTTCTCAGAAATACACTTTTTGGCACAAAATCTTTCTTAGGTTTGATGTATAAGAAACACGTTGGTTTAAACAACCACAAGGGAACCACGGATAATGGCAAAGAATCTCTATTCAAATGTTTAGTGTGGAAACTTAGCCAAGTGGAAACAGATGTGACTCACTTTTGACCTATAAAAAAATGATATATGGTCACGAGTAATAAGGTTCAGCAGAGGCCAACGGTTCCAATTTGCTTCACCGTGCCGCGTTGCGCTCTGTGTTGTGTAAATGTGGACGTATTTTTCAAACAGAAGATGTGGCATTTCCACTGTAAACCAAGCGAGTGCTCAGTATACTTTGAAATGACCGAATTGAAGGAAATATCCATTTATTCACTATAGTGCAACATGTTTAAATCAAGGTTTTCTGTCAAGCACAATGCTCACAATTATACTTCATCAAGTTGATATATTGTAATAAAAAAAAAAGTTGTTTTGCAATGTAGAACATCTGGGATATTTTTTTCACGTCTACAATTTTCAGGAATGTCTAAAAATAATAAGCTAACAATTGCTTTTGCATCATTGTTTTTTTTTCACTTGTCTCCCCCATATTTAAAGTTAATATGTCCCTATAATGTTCCTGCAGTAGTGAGGAGAGTGCAGGACTCCAGATGTGTTATCCCATTAAAACGCAGAAAGTACTCTTCTAATGACATTCTGACTGAACAAAATAATGACAAACTACTTAACTTTCATATGCCTGTGAAAGGACAAGAGAGATATCCAAAGCATTGGTGAAGAGGAGCAGCAGGTCAATGTGAAGAAGACTGTCTGTGAAAATCTGCCTTCACCTGGATGCACAATAATAGAAACCAACTTTATTAGGGAAGTGTGCAGAGGATAATCTGTCTGCGTTAACACTCTCCAGTACGAGAGTAAAACGCCTTCAATTGTTCTCTCTAATGAAGATGAATACTGTACTGCAAAGACAGAGAAAAATATGTGACCCCACCATTCCCATTAGAGGTCAATAATCTTTTACAATAATTGCCTGAAATTTTAATTGAAGAAAAATCTTGCTTAAGCATTCATCATCGAGGACGGACATTCCTCCCTTCAATTTTACATTCCGATTAATTCTGTTAATTTAAAAGTAACTGCTTTGTCCCAGTATAAAGGAACACAATTAGAAGTTTTAAATACATATAGCTTATTTCCATAAATCATTACTGTTCTAAATGCAAAGGCTGCTCACCAAGCCATACAAATGACCAAATGCACGATGGCTATTGCTATAACTGCTTATTACCATGGCAACTTTTTAAAAAAAATGTTTCTCAGCATGTCAAACTGGCAAAAATATTTTAATATTTTTTCTAGCGGTGTGTTTCCTGCCATATGTCTCAGGAAGCA